GAAATTTTCCCACCGGTTAATCGATGTGTGACAACACCGGTAATAGCGGTATCACCAGGGGGGCGGGGGTGTTCCCTCTTTTCCTTGCTTTCCTTCACTTTTAAATAGCTTAAAAGTGCCGTGCGCATTTTACTTTCACTTTCGAATTAGCCGCAGTTCGGCATCAATTGCTTGAATGCAACAACAAAATGCAATGTCAAACTCACTTTATCGTAAATATAAAACATAGAACTTTTATTAACAAAACAAATAAAAATACACCATACTATAGGGCAGGCTATGCCCAATATAAAATAAATAACTTACATAAAGTTTAAATAGGTATACAAAACTGGAAATAAGTAAACATGTATAATATACAACCAAATAAATAAGAACGTAGAAAGTTTATTAGCAAAACGAGTAAGAAAGCTTGGAGGCACGGCATACACCTTGATGTCAAATAAAATAAATAAATGACACATTTTAAATAAAGTAAAAATCAGCAAACAATGTGGAACCAATTAAATAAGTGATTCCAAAATCAGATAAACTGCAAAAGTCAACAGGCTTTTCAAAATCCAAAATACTGCCAAACAGGCACTTTTGCATTTCGTTTCGAAAATAAATCCGCAATCGTCTTGTCTGTCTCACCCCACTCTTCTTGTCAGTCAGCTCGACTCACTCTCCTCATTGGAGAAATTAAATCTGATCTGTGATGCAACTGTCGTTCGGCATGCTGCATTGTGCATCCGCGTTCTGTTTTTAATTGTAGTGTCTGTACTTTTACTGAACTAAATTATTTTTATTACTATAAAAAATCAAAACGACGGTGGGGGTCGGTGACGCGGTGGGCAAGTGACCTAACCGGTGTTGCGGCTTAACACGGATATCACCGTCAGCACCATCTATCGCGGCAAGCCTACTTTAAATGACACAAGACTTATTCTAAACTTGAAAGAGGAACCCAAGCCACTTCCAGAACATCATAATGGCTTTTACATTTTTACATTTCAGTAAACATAACTAGTCTAACGAAAAATATTGTTCTTCATATAGCCTAATTTTTTATTAAATGGTCATTTCTGGACCTGGAAAAATCATGAAAATTACTAAAATCTCCATGGAAATTTTTTAAAGAATATTTTATGTTTCAAGATATTTTTTTTAAATTATGCTAAGCTCTAAAATATTTATTAGGTAGAAATTGAGAGCGAGTAAAAAAATTAAAAAATAACCTTGAACTGAAAAGGTTATGGGCAAATATTATTGTGGGTAGTCAAAAAGGTAGGGAACCACTGCTCTAAACTGTCCCGTCCATAAAAGGCAAAACAACTCAAATTTCCCCATTTCCTAATACCCATTCCCCCTTTAGCCAACAAAAGCAGCAGAGAAGGTTTATGTGGGTGAGCTGAATGGCAACTGTGTCCGTGGTACAAAATCACTGGCCGAACATAAACTCCTGCAATTACAGCATCATACTGTCACCCGGCAGGCGAGCATCACGTGGTGAGGATTACAGACGTGGAAATCGAACTAAACGTCTAAGTACGTGATTACTAGAGCCCCTATAAAGGCGAACAGCAGCAGTGTGTGGAAAGCTCAGGTCTCTTAACAGTGTTAACCTCTCCAGTCTACACTCCAAAATTTGGTTTTGGAGCACAAACACACACGCTCATCTCCTAAAGCCGCCTCCACTGTGAATCTCCATTGGGGTGCTGACAATCCCATGACCCAGTTTCTCAGCTCAAATCCTATGGAGGTAGACACTCCAGAGCTCCTCACAGCGAGATTACTGTCACAAAGAGCTAATTTCTGCCACTCCTACCCCGATGAAAAACACTCCATTCAGCCACAACCGTGTGAGCTTAGCATTGTAGAAAATACCCCTCTCAGGAGACAGAAGAGAGTGCCCATCACCAGCTGGCATGCTAACAATCGGGGAGCCATCGAGTCAGACCTCATGCCAGACCCAAACTCAGAAGCTGGTGTGCACCACCAATCCACTCAATGACCATTTACGTCCAGCAAAAGTGCATGATTGTACACCGAAGTGCTCTACACTGAGAGATACGGGTAAGAATGAACAGCCCCGGTGAAAGGACTTGATACAAGAGGGGTTTTTTTTAGTTTACAACATACCTTCACAGACTCAAAGGTTAAGAGAGGATATGGAGAAAGAAACGAAAGAGGAAAAAAAGGATGAATCTACGTACAGCAGGAGAAAGTGTTAAACCAGAATGGATGGGAGTGGGTTTCTGTTGGAGAGCGTTCGAGAGCTGCTACAATAAGACGAAAAGAAAATAATGGAAGAGATAAATATAAGAGGCAGTTCTCTGAGCCGAGGTTGTGGGAGAAGACGTATCTAAACAGTAGCCGTCTCCTTCTATTTTTCACTGTCTTTCTATACGGCCTTGTGGGTGGACATTGAGCGGTAAGTGGGCTTGACTGAGGCGCTGTTGGAAGATTTAGAAAGAATCCGCGAGACGAAAAGAACAAACAAAAAGAGAAAGGTAGGGGAAAACAGATGAGGAAAAGGTAGGAAGAATGGGAAAGAGAAGGGCAAAAAGAGAAATGTTTGTTAAACATCAGCTTAAATTTAGATGTAATAGATGTTTTCAGTGAATATAAAAGCCCTCACAGCATGAAAAGTGGAGAAAGCCAGCGTCAGCAAGCACTTCCAGAACCCACAGCGAGACCACAAGGTGAAAACAAACCACGAGCTGTTTCACTTTAAGTCATTTTGCATGGCATCGCCCTGTTTCTGAAGGAGCTGTTGGAGCCAGAGAGAAATTAATGTTTTGTCAGCTGACCGGGCTTGTATGAATTAACCAATTTTTTATTGCAGTTGGAGTCTTTTATTTTGAGGTTATTTTTGAGTTACAGCCCAGTCTCGATCACTCTCGGTAATGAATGGCTGCAAAATGCTCCCCTTTTTCCATTGGTGCTGAATGTTTCTTGCAGCACTGAAATGAATCTACTGTGCCACAGCAAATGATATTACTCCTGAGGGAGTTTAAAAAGATGAAGTTCTCTGAATAGAAAGTATCGAGATAAATTGAGTACTATGACAATATAAAGACAATACACGCCTTTTTCTAATGTGATGTCTTCACAGGCTGCACGCAAAAACCAAAAATACAATTGTCTGATTAAGAAAATATACAAAAAAAAAATTGTATATTTTAGTCCAGTAGCTTTGAGATTATCTATATACCAGTATAAATTATCTTATTGCATGTATACACTTTTAAAATGTTTTTCTCTGCTTGGAAAACTATATACAGTGGGTACGGAAAGTATTCAGACCCCCTTAAATTTTTCACTCTTTGTTATATTGCAGCCATTTGCTAAAATCATTTAAGCATGTGATGTAAGCTAAATATTATTAGCTAATTTTTAAAAAGGCCCTTGGATATATCAAGCCCTAACTTTTGGGTTCTCTCTTTCCCACCACTATCTCAACCACACACAGTCAAGAAGGGTTATCAAACCTGACTTGCGCCTATCGCTAACAGCCCAATTAACAGATACAATCATTGACATGAGCTGTAGGACTCTATAAGCCGTGGTGCAAACCAAAGAGCACTGAACTGGTTGTGATGAATATCCCACCTCCTTCTCTCCAGTCTACTTCCTAGTCATGCCACTCAAATGTTCCCTGTCCAAACCCCCTCCTTCCTGATCTACACTTCCACCCATAAGAAAACAGTCCAGAATGGCAGAATGAATATTTAAAAGCTGCAGCCTTCTCAGTCCTGGGGTGGCGTATGCGCGAGTTCCTCGAACAGAGGCTGAGGGGCGACAGGGCTTTGAAAAACCAAAGGCGAAGAGAGAAACAAAAGCAAAAAATAAAATAACAATTACAGTGCAACTGCAACCCTCGTCTTGGCAAGAAAAAAGCAAGCTACATTAATGAAGCCATTAGCACCTTCTGAGATGAAAAGAACAGTGAAGACCTGAGTTTAAACCCGTTACCATGTACATGCGATAATAAAGTTGGCATTCTACCTTTCTCAGGGGGATAGCTTAATTTGTGAGGTTTTACCTAGCATTTTCTCCTTTTAATGGACCTTTTGTTTGGAAATATAAAAGATGACAAAGTGCAAAACACTCCCTGCTTCATTAAACGATAAAGGTAGCAAAAAAATTACTACAGAGCAATAAGATGTGAATCAAATGCCACTTCTGGACTGTACTATATTGATCCATGCATCCATCTATCTATCTATCTATCTATCTATCTGCATGTCTATATCTATAGCTGAACTATATCTACCCATCTACTTATCTATCTATCTAGCCACCTATCCATCTACCCATCAATCTACCTATCCGCCTACCCATCTATTCTCTTCCCATCTATCTATCTAGCCATCTATCTTATCTCCGCTCCAACATTTATAGTGTAAATATATCTACTTACAGAACTAAAGTACTCATCTATTCATCCACCTACCTACCCATCCTTATCTATTGTTCAACTATAGGATCAGGCGATGCAGTCACATTTCTATAATCTAACAATAATCCATCTTAATCTCTTCCATCCAATCATTAGATTGTTTTAAAGCACTCTTGAGTCAATACAAAACCTTTAACCCTATTTGCTACAGTTTCTAACTGAGTAACCTCAAGTTTCTGTTACGTAACCAATAGTGTAATGCTAACACAAGCAGAAAGAACCTATAAAGAAGCTGTGGATGTGGACACTTTTGCAATGAACTGTAAAACCACTATTGTGGTCACACTATTCATTTCAAAGAGGACTGCTATAGATCAAGAGCATGTTTACCCAGTTAGCCACAAAAATGTTGATATAATACTTACGTTGGCAGTGTCCATCTACCTCCTCGAAGCCTGGCCGGCACACACAGCGGCCGATGGGCACCAGCCAACCTCCGTCGGCACTGCAAAACATCCGTGGTGCCTCGAGCTCTTCCGCGTCCTCCACACAAGTGCCACGCACTTCCACCAACGCAGAATCGCCACCCGTCACCGTATCCGGGAACCGGGCCAGATTGAGCACCGCCAGAGGACAGCGCTTATAAAAGACTCTCACCGACACCAGAGCAATGCAAGCACCCAGGTCTTGAAACGCCAGGTACAAGCCCCTCTTACTGAGACCGCTGATGTCTCGCACTTCCGTATTCAACTTCATGACACGATCCCCAACGTCCGTCTGCGTAAAGCTCTCATCAGCCGCTATAGTGTCAATCTTGACATATTGGCTTTCTCGAATGTGGCGCAAAGGTGAGGCGACTGCATTGTTAGATTCGTGGTAGTACACGTTAAACGTCTCCTTACAGGTTCCAGGGACTCCCGGAAGGCTGTTGCAGTCACGTAGAGTGAATTTGATCTCCACGTAGACACGTTGAGCACCTTCTCGCTGGATCAGTCCAGTGCGCAACCAGTTGTTCTGATTGGCTTCCATTACGTTGCACACCTGGTACGTCCTCATAGGAATGTTCCTCTCGTCCATAACACTGATCTCCTCCCACTGAAAAACAAACAAAAAGTCGATCAGTACAAGGAGACACACATCCCTCAATGCTTTGGTAATTGCTCTCTGTACTTTGTTTCTGAACTTACAGCGGTTTCTAAAAGATTTTGACAGACGCATGATGGGCACTTTACGAGAAAAGGCTTCATTTAACTGTCATCAAGAGGAAAGTGCATGTGACAGGCAATCAGCTCAAAGTTATAAACTGAACAGTCTCAGTTGTTTTGTTCACGCATAAATCAACTCATTGTTGATGCAAAGAAAATTGTATAATTGTACTTTGGAAACTTCAATTGTTAAAACGTAAAAGGCGAAAACCATGAAAAATAATTTGGTTTGTTGGTTTGGCATTGACGTCAGTAAGTTTGTGGGTTAAAAATAAAGGCACAAAATGTAGCAACATAAATCTTTCTAATCTTTCATTTCAGAAGTGTAGTACGCATACTGCTGGACATGCCAAACCTTGAAAGTTTCCCCTGCTTTATAAGCACCACAAAAACATGAGATATTTCTCTTTACAGGCACTCGTTAATCTGAGGGTCGCCGTGATTTTGCCAAGTAAAACATGTTCCTGGAACAACATCTTTTGTTGATCCTGGATCAACATTACTGTCCAAAAATATAGACTAAACCCAATCCCTACCCCTAAACCTAACCCTACCCATAATTTATTCCTAAAATCAGTGTGAAATGATAGCTGATTAACCAGGATGACGAAGCGCCTAACCCTGATCGTAAGCCTAAAACAGATATTTCCTGAAAAGTTATCCTTCAATTCTGATTGGTTAATTGGAATGTTGTTCCAGGATCAACAAGGACGTTGATCAAGGAACATGTTGTACTTGGTGAAATCACAGTCACCTTAATCTGAGCGTGACTACTTGTGCCAAGGCCACTATTACAATCCATCATCATCTTGTGAAAATGGATTTGAATGAATGAAACGAAAGCGTGGGATGAGAAGCAACTCCCACAGAGGAGACAGAGAATCGTTACTCAGCGGGTTGGCAAGGTTGTTTGAAATGAGACTTTCCTACGACCCCCCCCCACAGGAAACTCTGAAGAGTCACAGCCTGTATGTTCACAGAGAGGAGCTGTGAGCATTTTTTAGGGTTAGAAAGATCAAGGACTACACTTTAAATCTTGGTTGTAACAGAACTGGTTAAAAATTGGGGGAAAAACAACAACAATTTAAAGCAGTATTACACTTATTGTTTTTATTCTTAAACCCTTTTTCGTCTTTGACCCATTTGCATGTATACTTTTAAATAATATTTGTAAATTTACTAGTTATTGTAAAATTATTTTAAAATATTATTTAACCATTTTCACATAATTTGCTAATTTTTCTGATAAATAACTGTTGCTGGAAATTATGTTACTATATTATAGGAAATTCCAAGAAAACCACAAATTCATAAACACTTTTGATAGAAAAATAATAGCATACATGGCAAAACATGATTGGTTTGTCATTTTTTTTAACCATTATTACAGATGCTAACAAAACCATCCAAGCCATTTTTGCAATTTCAACAAAACCCATCTATGTTAATATTACCTAACTAACCTTAGCAAACTGACAAGCTTATGCAACCAAATGTCACAGAAACTCAAATGTTTAAGGAGTCTAGTTCTCTCTCCAAATTCCTAGTCCAAACACAGTTCTAGTGCTTTCAATTCTTTGTCATCCAAAAGGTGAAAGATCTCTTTATTCTACCCGTCAAAGAAAAAGAAAAGTGAGTTTTTTTCACAAAGCTGGTGTTTCTACGGTCCTTAAGGAAGAATATAGTCAGGCTCACCAAAAGACATGACAGTACCACGCAATAAAATGACAAGATTTAATAAGTAAAATCCATTTAGGTACCATACAATTCAAAATTATGTCAAAGAAATCACTATAAGTTCACTTTTCTGTCACTATTACAAGGCCAGGGTCATAACATATATAGACAATGCAGGTGAAGCATCCACTCAAATAGTGGTTGTATATATCCAATTAAATTTAGCCCCCATTATCCCGAATATGGTTACAGTCTTGTACAGGCCAATACATGTGGAATTCCTCGGGGTGGCTGAGAGATCTCGCCACCCCAGGCCAATAGATGAGATTAACCATTAACACTGGGAATAGTGCAGTGGTCAGCAATCACCTCCAATGTAAACAGGGGAGCAAAAACTTAAAAATGGAAAAAGGAGAAGGGTAGGTCAAGAAAGAGACAGGGAAAGGATAGATAAGCAGCTGGATATATGTCCTCAGGGAACCGAAAAGGACAATGGGGTCACTCTCGCTCATGCATAGCCACTGTCAGGTACTTCTCAAGTATCCTTTACTTAAGAGGTAAATCAATCTATGAAAATCCTATTCTTAACTCTGAACATGTAGCCTATATTCTGACAGGATTCAGGACTGTTGGGCATTAAAAAGTTTAAAATCTACTTGATTCGCATACATAAAATATGGTATTTATGTCTAAGAAGAGTATTTTCGCTAGTTTATTCTCTTTCGAGGTCAAGTGTGTAATCTCTTTTCTCACCATATATAATTTCAAAAATTATAGTTTACAAAAAGGTTTTTCCTGAACCCCCCCCCCCCCCCCCC